GATTGAAAGTCCCATTTGTTCCAGCTATTCCACTTCTAGGCATATTCCCAGAAGAACTGAAAGCATCATACCACAGTGATATATGTGCACCCATGTTTATAGCAGCACAATTTGTAATAACCAGATCTTGGAAACAACCTAAGTGTCCAGCAACTGAGCAATGGATAAAAAAGTTGTGGTATTTTTATACAATGGAGTACTTATCAGCTATAAAGAATGATCATGTTGAGATATTTAAAAGTAAATGAATGCAACTTGAAACCATACTCATAAGCAAAATAAATCAAACTCACATGTGTAAATACCATATAGGGTCCCTAGTGTAAGAAATGGTCAGATTACACAGCATACAAAAACCTCAAAAAATACAGTGAAAGGATAAGAATCTTCTCAAAGAGCAAAAAATAATATCTCAGGCAAAGGAGGAAAAAAAGGGAAAAGAAAAAATATCTAAAATTATATAAACACACTTAGGATAGCTAAGATGATTGTGCAACAAATTCTATAAGTTCTTGGGATAAAATAGGTAACATTCAGAGGACTGGAACAATTGTGTATAGTACTGTATGGTGATCTGAGGAACTCTTGAAGATCATTATGTAAAATAACAACCCTAGTGATCCTCCTACCACCTTGTTTGGAAGTTCTCTATTGTCAGTGTTTTGGGCTCTTTGCTATGGTTCTTTATTTATCTTTTTTGTTTCATGTTTTTCTCAGAATTTGTATTGTTTTGTTTTGTTTTTCTCTCTAATACAGAATGGATAGGTATACATGCAGAGACTCATACATGTGTAGAACTTCTACTAAACGATTTATGAGAATCGATTATATAATGCATGATGAAATGAATAGCTACTTTGAAGAAAAAGAGACATCATGGTATCCAGTGCTGATACTGTAGCATCATGCTGTGAAATCCAGCAATATTATTCTTTGTTCAGACTGATTTTAGTCTGTTTTGTATAGTTTAATTTCAGCATATGTGAAGGTATAGAAAGCTATTCTGAAGAGAATGAGAGACATTATGGTGGCCATTGTTGATTTCCCTATTGTCTGGTCTTGAAGACCTAAAATGCCTTCATCATTCTGTTCTGATCAGTTTAATAGTATTTTGTTTTGTATGAATTCATTGTGAGTGAAGATTTGGATAACTACTTAGAAAAAAATGAGAGACAACATGATAGACAGTGATGGTCTCCTGTTGTCTTGCTTTGAAATCTGTATCACATTTGTTTTCTTCTGATCTGCTTTGTTCTGTTTTGCTATGTTTAGTTTTACCATCTTCAAAATAAAATTAAAAAGGTGTGGCTTAATAAGAAAAGGTGATGCCCCTTGGAAGGATATATTCTGTCCAGAAGTCCCTTTCTCTCTGAATCTTTCATGCTGCTCTGTTTCCTACCTGTCATGAGGTGAGCAGATTTGCTCCACAAATGCTTTTCCTCCATTCTGCTGCTGCCTTAAAGCCAGCTGATCACAGACTGAAACCCATGATATCATGAGCCAAGATAACCTTTCCAGCTTTCAGTTGTGTGTGTTAACTATTTTGTCCCAACAATGGAAAGATGACTAATATAGTAGTGAACTAAACTGAAGTGCTGATGATTTCCAAATGTGCTTTGCTAAATCACTGAATGAGTTGCCAGAAGAACTGCAGTAAAACTGTTCTGCTAGTCTTTATCTGTCAACTTTCCTCATGAGATCTTGGAGGGTGAACAAAACTGTTTAACATAAGAAAAACTTTATATTTCCTAAAAATTATTTTTTTCTGCTGACTCTTCCATTGTAAAGTTCTAGAAGCTAACCTCCAAAATCAATGATTGCTCAGAGTCCAAAACGTGGTTTCTGCACATGATTTCCTGTTATAAAGTCCCAGTTTAAAAACAAGAGCTGTATGATGAGCCTAGAAAATATTTTTTGTGTTAGAAAACAAGAAATCCATCCAAGACCAAGAGTCACATGATGGCATGAGGTTCAGTTTAAAGGAAGTTCCCTTTGAGATAGAGAATTGCCTGGCTCATCCTTCCCTGCCTCGGCTGGGGCAGGGGCACAGTGTGACTTGCCCTGTGGCCAGCACAGCTCTCCCCTTTGTTTCCCCATGCTGCTGTACCCTTGCACTCCAATGGACAGGAAAGTTTGCTTCAGTGTCTTCCCTGGCTATCAAACTGTCATTCCCCACACCAACATGAGTGAACCTAGGTGGTGTGGTTTTCCTTAACCACTCCTGCCACTGAATTCTGTATGGTTGCATTTTTGAGAACAGAGAGACCACCCAGGAGAAGCCAAGATGAGGAAGGGAAGGATCTAGATCCCTTATTTGTATACCCAGCATTCCCAAGAAACCTTCTAGAAGATTCTCTGGTTTCAGCCCTCATTGTCATTGACATAAGCATACAGGTTGTAACATAAGCAGCACTGCCTAGGCGCTTCTCAGATTTTATCTAAGAAGGCTTCCTTCCATGTATCAGCACTCTGTATGTCATGCTATATAACACAGACCCTATTAAAATAAAAGCTTATTTTTATGTTCTTATAAATCTTCTCATGAGTTATTTCTTAGGTAATGTGGCCTGCAAAAGTCCTATAAATCTATTTAGGATTTTTATTCCCAGAATTAACACCTAGTAGAGTGAATCTAAAGTGTCCGGCACAAGCTGACAAGTGACCATGATGTCTGGCAGTGAGAGACCAACAATTGGCCATGTCAACTGTTGTCATCTGGTGACAACAAGGTTTCACTTGACTGATTATGATTCCCATCTGAACTGAGCAAAAGAACCCTGGGCTTATTGACAACACCCTGACCAAAAGAGGGACAACCTGAGCTTCAAAAATAACAGCTGTGATATATAAAACAGATCAGATAATATTCCCATCATGATCACACTTAGTTATCTTTGCCAAGGCACTAAGTTACTATTCTGGCATGGTCCTCCTATTATCTGTGTCCCAAAGTTGCCAAATACATAATATGATGTAATCTTCTTTCTTTTTCTTTCTTTCCATAAAAATGGAAATTCAGTTCATAAATGCAGAAGTTGTTGTGGAATTAGCAAGGCACCATTTCAAAGCTCACAATGAAATAATCAATCTGGGAAACATTTACTAACAGCAGCTAAAAGCCAGAGGCAAAAATGTCGATAGAAACTTTATTAACTGATGAGTCACAGTAAGAATGTCTGTCTGGTAAACGTGAAATATCTGCTGTCCTGTGTCCCTTGATAGGAAGCAGTTAGGGAGCACCCAGGGCCCCTGTGAAGTACTTCTGTTGAATCTAACTCAACATTTATATAGACATCAGTGTTTACACAATGTAAGGGAATAAAGACATAGATGTCACTAGAAGGAAAAAGTTTGCCAAATTAATAAGAAACTTCCCACAAATGACTTTATTCTGTTGCTATTGTTGTTGCTTTCATGTAACAGCAAATATAAAGTGGGGGAGAGGGTATTGCTACAGAATAAAAGAGACATTAGTACCTAAACAATTACTGTGTGGACCCTTTTTGTTTCATCGTTTGAGTCAAATAAGTGTAAAGGAGACAGCTTTGAAGCTACCAGGGAAATTGTCATAATGATTGGATATTAAGTATTAAGGATCATTATTATTTACCAGATGTATTAGTGGCATGCTTGTAATGTCTTTAAAAGTCCTCATGAATTAGATACTCATACTGAATTTTTATGGGAGAAATAACTGTGTCTCTGAGTTGCTTTTAAATATTACAAAAAAACAATGATTAGATACAAAAACTCACTAATCAAATACTGAAAATTGTTGAAGCTGGTTATAGTATTGCTCTATTTTTACTTTTTGGATATGCTTTACATTTATCAATTTCATTTTATTAAAACCACTAAATTCAAAACCTTAATACATGAAACACAGAATCCAGGTGAAAAAAGCTTTAAGAAGCTATTTCATTTTCATAAAGTAAACAGAATACGTAATCTGTACCCAGAACCTGGGATGCCAACACCAGTTAAGAATGCTATTTTTCCCAAATTGGACATTGAGCAGCCACTGGCTGGACTTTTAATCATTAAAAGGCTTCTTTTCCAGAAATTTCCAGCTGTGACTCAAGAGAGACCAGATAACCTAAGTTTTCTGACACATACAGTTCAATATAGACCTCTGAAGGATCAAACAGCCAGCTAAACAACAAGGTATTATGTTCTCCTGAGCAAAAGGATATATAAAGATTTTTTAGGAAAATAAAAACAAGGGTTTCAACTCTGAAACATCTGTTAATTTCCAAATATTTGATGGACATTTGAGTAGTATAATAAAAAATAAAAATGCTTAAGTATGTAGTACATTACCTAGAGTACAAAGTCACTGATTCAGGGCTTAGATGTCCCTAAATGGTCAGTAGGTTACCTTCAAAGAGTTCCAGAATAGAAAGGTCCCCATGCCAGACAGCTGAACCAGGAAACTCCAGTAAGGTGAGTGAGATCACACCTTTCAGAAGACACACCATGATCATATATCCCTTTCTCACTGCTGTGAACGTCAAATAGGCAAAACCTGTCCCAGGAGATCAAGTAAGGAGGTGACCAGATGCCAGGCCAAGTGAAGGAAAGTGGGGAATAAGCCAGGGGAGGGAGACTGAGGGAGGAGGAGAGAAAAAAAAGAAAAGGGTAAAGAAGGTGGAGAGAGAGGGAAGAAGAGAAGGAAGGAAGGAAGGAGGGACAGAGAATAAAGCTACTAGGACATTGACAAGACACTTGGAAAGCCACAGCATTCCCGTGAGAATAATACTGAATGTAGAACCATCCAACAGAGCAATTCCAGAAGCACTTTTGGAAGGCAAATTCTATATCCTGGGCAGGGCAAGAGACTCTCCCTGACAGATCCCCAGGAGCTTCCTGGGCCACTAGATGAATTTTAAGACTTCTGTTCCTATGAAGAGTAAAGTCAATGAGAAAAAGTTAAAAATTAAACCTTTGGTTCTGACATGATGAGATCAAAGTATTTGGTTAAAGAACCTAACCAGCAAATACCAGCAAATTGAGAAAGTCAGCGCTACGTTAAAGGTGAGTGAAAATGTCTTCAAAAGAGGAGAACTGACTCCACTGTACTGAGTCGGGTTAATCTTCTCCCTCTTATATCATGCTGCCTAAGTGATATTAATAACTAATTAATTTTACAACATGTGTCGGGGGTCCTTCTCTAATAGAGATCCTCTTTAAAGTGTTTAGTAACATGGACAAATGTTTGAGAAAAGCAATATCTTGTCACCTGAAACTTTTCATTGAAAAGAAAAAAGTGTACATTTAGAAATGTGCACAAATTGAATAGTTGTGCACAAGGATGCAAGAGAAAATGTGTGTTGTAGGGTGCTGTCATTATATGTGAGTGGCATGGAGTGTCTGTGGTAGAGTATGCATGTATCTGTGATTTATGTGACACTGTATATGGCGTGTATGTGAATGTATGTGTGGTTAGATGGTTTGCACACAGATCGTGTAGGTGTCATTGTGACATTTGTAGGTGTGGTTTGACTGTATGTTTGTGTCAGCTATGTACTATATTTTTATATCATGTGGCATTAAACAGTGGTCCCAATGTATCATAACGGTGGCTGATAAAATGACTCACTCAAAAATACTTTGAAAACTCAATCTCAGGATTTCATTGTGATTCAGGCATATGATGTCACATAAACTGAGGAGGCCAGATCTTGAAGTCTAGATTGGTCAGTCCACATGGGAGCTGGAAACTTATTGTAAAGGGCTGCCTGATTTTAGGTGACTCCATTATGATTCCTACTCCTTCCTGATATTCCTGCTAGCAGATACACAAGATCCAGACTTAGGCACACCTGCTGTTGTTTCTTGTGAACTAAGACCCCATGCAGGGTTTCTCAGGGCTGTGGACAATGATTTACCTATTCTTAAGAGGGGAAAGGTAATCTCGCAGCTTTAGTAAGACACAGATAATTTGTTTTACCTTCGTTCCTTTTCCAATATTCCCCCTTTCTCCTTGAACATACAGCGTCTCACCAATAGCAATCTCTTGCCACATGAAGGGAGGATAGAGTCTGCTGGAAATACATTCCCTGTTTCTGTAACAACATCTTCAGTTGTCTGTCCTCTTCGAGGGATATTTTTACTGGATATAGAATTGTGAGTAGACTAGACTTTTGTTTGCTGTCTGTAGTTTTCAGGCTTTCTGTATGCATTTAATCAGCAAAAACACTCATTTAAAAAAAGGAAACCTGTAATGAAAAAGACGCTGGAGCAGAGTGCCCTTCAGTGCAGAAGTCAGAGGACATGGGTTGCTTGCTTCCTTGAGTTGATGTCTGTGTGTTTTTCCCCCACAGTGGATAGAGAACAAGTCCTTCAGTAAGAAAAGAAGCAGTGTCTACAAATGGAGAACAACTTCCTTTCTAAGAAAGGTAGCTTTCTATTCACTCTACCATTTACAAGTTTAGTTTTCTCCTTCTTAAATAGATCTTAGGGAGAAAGTTATTCCATGGAAACCCATTGAGAGTCTGAGAAATGTTCAGGAAAGTGGTAAAAAAAAATCCGAAATCCCTAGATAAAAATTTAAGGCACCCAGGCTGGGGATAAAGCTCAGCCACATGAGCTCCTGGCAAGGTCTTGAGTTAGATTCTCAGTACAAAAAAAAAAAAAAAAAAAGTCCACACACCCTTGTTGTTCCCATTTTAAGTGACTATTTCTGCTCTTGTACACTTGCCCTCTTACGGCCTGATGCAGAATACCAGAAAAAGGTACATTAATTTTTTTTCAAGATATGTGAAAGGAGTAAGGCAAGATGATGTTTCTGCATCCTTAGATATCAGTAATTGAATGTATAGTCAATATATTCTGAAAGAACCTTGAAGAGGGTGGGGTCAGGACAGTGAAGATTTACTACTAAGACTTTTGTCAGTATCATGCTGGACAAAAAATTACAGAAGAGGAGGAGATGGAGAGTGAATTATGTAAGTTCTTTGTTAATATAAAAGCTAACAGTGTATTCAAGTTTATGTTTACTTCTGTACCATTTTACATTGCTAATTTCTCTTTCATCCGTTTATATATATATATATTTTTTTTTTTTTTCCTGACACCTGTCTTATCCTTAGCATTTTCTTCCTTTTAGATCTTTGGTTTCATTTCTTTGCACCAATTCCAAAGTTCCCAATTCTTTGACGAAATGTGTTTAGAGCTGCACACTGTGGTCAGGAGTTCACGAGTTCCAAATGCAGTATTCTTACTACTACTTAGTCCCAAGCACTTTAGAGTCCCTTTGTGGTCTCCTCTTTGACTCAAGATTTATTTAGACATTAATTGATGGTCTTCCTGGAGCAACAAAGAGGAGAAAAATGAGCAAAAACTTGAAAGGGCAGCCCTGAAGGAGGATGGACCCTTCTCTGCCGCATCCCACGCAGATCTCGGAAGTTCCAAGGGTGAGGACGGTGAGAGGTTGGAAAATAAGGACAAGAATCCGAAAACAGAAAACTGAGGCCAAATGGAGTTCTCTTTCGTGACCAGAGAAGGCAGGAAGGAAAAAGGAAGGGGTGGAGAAGAAGGAGGAGAAAGCAAGGGAAGTGAAAAGATGGAAACCGAGGGGGAAGAAGGATGGAAAAGGAAGGAGGAGGCTAGAGGAGGAGAGGAGGAGGGAGGAAGGAGAGGGAGGAGAAAGAAAGGTGGAAGAGGAGAAGGAAGGAGGCACACGGGAGGAGGGAGAGAAAAGGAGGACAGGAAGAAGACAGAGGAAGAATAGGACCGGGCTCATCTCAGTTTCTCATTTCCCATTCTTCTCAGCTCAACGGACTACGCAAAGCAAGTGGTCTTAGAAGTCCTCTGTCAAAACCGGGCAGAGTGCGCTCATCCCTTGCTGACCCATTAGTCTAGCCTCTCGGTATTTGGGGTGAGAGCCTCTTTCCTGCTCTCTCATTGTTAGAGCCTCGGTATTTGGCTCCTGATGTCTCTTGGGGACATTCTGAGATAAATATCTCAAAGCAAAATTTGCCTTCAATGCTCAGTTTACGTTTTGAGGATCTTGTCTTCACTAAACTTTCAGCCTAAATATTTCGTCTTTCCTGCCTGATTATTTATGCTTTTAATGCTAATTTCTCAAACACCATTAGTACAATAAAATCTTAATTTAATATTGAGAACTCTGGACTTTTTGCATGGTCTTCCCTGAAGTGAAGATGTATTTGTATCTCAGCTGAATTAATAATTGAGATTTCTGTGCTCCTCCCCAGTGCCAGGCTTCTTTTCCTGTCGCTATGGAATGTCCCTGATCCTGCACTTCTGCAATATGGTAATCGTAACACAGCGTGTGTGTCTGAGTCTCACAATGGTGGTGATGGTGAATAACACACAAAGTCTGACCAATGTGTCCTCAGAGGCGAATCCACGCAGCACAATGGTATGTCAATTACCCACAGCCATTACTCCAAAAATCCGATCATGCTATCTAATTTGTACAGAGCTTAAATATTATTGGACGGACAATAATAATTAGGAAGATGTCACTATCGGGCTGGTGAGTTATTCCCTCAACCCAGAAAGAATCACAAGGCAAAAAGTCATCAGAGGACTGAGCAAAACTATTGAAGAGCAGAAGCAGAAAGTAGACTCTATTGCAAAGGGAAAGCAAAAAACACTATTGGTTATTGAACCTAACAGGGGATCTAAATGGATTGCCAGAGGAACTCTTTCACCTGGGGGATTTTACATGCAAAAAAATGACTACATCTCAGCTAAACTGAGATCAACCTGTGGAGTTACAAGCAGGAGAGTTTGACCTAGAAGTTTCCCTAAAGGAACTCCAGGTAAACACCACTGATTATAACTTCTTTAAATTGGCATAATAAACAGAACAAGAGTTCACTAAAGAGGCATGGATATTTTACTCCTAGGTAAGGAAATGTCACCAAACCAATGAGGATTTTATTTGCTGCCTCTGAAGCCTTTCAGACCTTCACCATCGTGTCCTTTCCTAGGCCATCCTGACTCCTTGTCTAGCTGGGCTTTTCCCTGGCTGCCTATTCTGCCTATCCTGTGGATTATGGCCTATCCTGGTCATAATACTCCTTATGCCCCCCTGCCTTTGTGGCCAGCCTCATTCTGAGAAATCTTCTTTTTTTTTAAATTTTTTATTGTACCAGGGATCAAACTCACAACTTCTCACTTGCCAGGCAGGCACTTACACCCCTGAGCTAAATCTCCTGCCCTCTGAGAAATCTTCTTACCTTCCCACAGAGCCCTGCTTGTCCTCATACACACATATTTTACAGAAACTAATTTTTTAGATTACTGCTGAGTGCTTCTTATTAGGTTAGGAAAATGATACCCCAACCTCAGAAAATGGACCTAATCCCAGCCACTTCTGTAGAGGGATTGTAGTGCATTCTCTTTAAGTCTCTTTTTATCTCCTGGCTTCGTTCCCCCACAAAACTGTTCATCCTCTAAGAAGGTGTGTGGCTGTTTTGCTATTCCCGTTTCAAAGCAGAAGCTCAAGACTTTGTCTGCTTTGCCAGTAATGAGCTAAATAAGCATGTCCTGAGATTAAGTTTACCTCTGTATTTATGGAATCTGAAATACTTCTAGTGTCAAACATTTTGGATAAGGGATATTCAATACATAATTGAAGACCTTAATAATAAAATGTAAATATATATATATATATATATATATATATATATATATAATAACATAAGAGACTATATATGGTCTTGTAACAGAAAGTATCAGGAAAAGGAAGTTACTTTTCATGACTGAGCAAGACCATATTCCCCAGATTCCTAGCTAGTACCATGGGTCTACAGTATGTGTCTCCATTTTCTTTCAGGACCCTGTCTATAACTGGAGCCCTGATATACAAGGATTCATCTTAAGTTCCAACTTCTATGGCGCACTGGTTGTTCAAATTCCTATTGGATACTATTCTGGAATATACTCTGTAAAAAAAATAATTGCCTGTGGGTTGTTGCTCAGCTCTGTGTGTACTCTGTGCACCCCATTAGCTGCTCAGGTTGGAGCGACTTTGGTCATTGTGTGTCGAGTGGTCCAAGGGATGGCCCAGGTATTAACATAACATAAAAACTGAACAGTATTTAAATTCACATTAGGCATCAGAAATTACATGTCTGAATTTTTCTTATTTTAGGGAACAGTATTATCAGGCCAGCATCAAATATGGACCAGGTGGGCCCCTCCTTTGGAACAAGGTCGACTCACAACTATAAGTGCCTCAGGTAAGTACTTAGGACCTTGAATGTTTGAATTCTATTGTCATACCCTGTTCTTCCCTATGGCCATAAGAAGCATGTGTTTTGAACTGTGAAAAGCTTTGCAGCCGTCAGTTCCACCTTTCTTACTTTAAAAAGGAAGAAAATGTTTAGAAAAAAATCTTTACCCCAAACAACAACAACAACAAAAAGGGTAGAAAAGCAAAACTTTATTACTTTCTTCTGACCAGCTATACAAATATTTTTCACAGGACATTGTTCAGTGCTAAGGTTAAGTCACCTTCCCTCTACTTTCAAATGTCTGCATTAATTTTATCATGGTGGGTTTGGTCCCTTCTGCTTAGGGGCTATGCTGGGACCCTTCATTGTCCTGCTTGTCACTGGATTCATCTGTGAGCTTCTAGGCTGGATCTCAGTCTTCTATATTTTTGGTGAGTCTCTTTCTATAGATTCTCATTTATTGTTCAGAATTTAAGAAGAAAAGTTAATAACAAAAATCTAATATAATAAAATAATTTATGTGAAACTAGTATTTAAAATCACAAATTTCACTGAGAGAAAAAAAAGTTAACATTCATGAAGTTCTCATTACAAACTAGGTGACATGCTCAGAACTATATATATATATATATACATATATAATATACATATATACATATATATACATATATATCGTACATAGCTTTTACAACTCTGTATTGTAGATGCTATCATAACACATACTTTATGTGAAAGTCTCAGAAAAAGGGTTAATCACGATAACCAACTTTTCAGATTTTTGAAAGATCATATACTAAGTATCTATACTTAATCATTACCTTGACCCTGCTCTATAATCAAACGCATACATTTCTGGAGTTCAAAACAAACTTTATATAAATTGGAATACACAAAATTCTTTAAAAATTGAGGTTGCCAAATGAGTTATAAAATCACTTTTTGCTTTGGTATCTTAACTTATTGAAGAGACAGTGAATGAGTACAATTATGTTCATTTGTTAGGTGAGGACACTTACAGAGGCTATGTCCTTTGCCCAAAATCATACTTAGGATAAATTCAGAATTTATTTACAATGTGATTATTTTAAAAATGGGTACAAGATGAATAAATTACAGGGATATTGCAGTAGCTCCAGCCAAATGATACAGAAATTAGTTCCATACCCAAGCCCGAAGAGAAAAGGAGGGAGTAGTTATCACTGTGCATCAGGAGGGAGTATTATAAAGCAGATTGCCTCAAGGGAACCTATGATTTTTCATTGTTAAAAAGTATGTAGAAAGAGGTAATTTTAGGAATGAAATATTTAGGGTTTGAAAAGACATCATAATCCCATTAACTCTCTCCCTCTCATCCCTATCCAGACTTTCTGTTGGCTAAGTGAAACAGGAAGGCAGAGATTGGAGCCTGTTGATGTTTACTGAAGCAGCCATCTGTGCCATATCAGGGTGTAAAGGAATGAAAAGTGGACGTAGGAAAATATATGCACGTCAAACAGGAAGCAAAAGGCAGAGCCACAGTGTGCAAACATGTCTTCCTCTGTCATTTCCATTACTCTAAATCACTACTTTGGTCATCAGGAATAAGCTGTGGTCAGTATAGTGATGGGACACATACACTGTGTCCTGAAAGGGGTTTCAGAGAACTAGGAGTATCTCTCCTGGAGAAAAGAAAACTTACTCTATGAGAGAAATGCAGAATTTTTCTGCATTGTAAAATTAAATTAAACATGCAGAAATTACTAGGACAAAACTTCAGTGTTGTACAGGAAAATCTTTAAATAGTTAATTGCTGATCAAATTGAATGGATGACCCTCATCATTCCCATTGTATTCCTACTTCAGCATCATGTACAGTAACACATGTCACTGATAGTTATCATGACCCTTGAAGGAAGAGAATACATTTTATGCTATGACAAGGGTTGTACCATGAAATGCCTTGTGTGCATCTTCTTTTTCACTGACAATAGAGAAAAGAGTTTTGAAAGCAGTGGGTTTTTTAGGTACATGCCACATGATACTTTTATTGGGATCACTTGATGTCAAATGACCTGCCCAAATGTCAGAGACAAAACCCAAACCAACAATGTTTATAAATTCTATTTGAATGTTCTTCTCAATAAAGTTAAACAAATCTATGTAGACACTGTTTTAAAGAACAAGATAATGTCTGTTCTGTCATTAGGGTTTATAGACTTTATAGCTGTCGAAGTTGAATATGATAGGCTTGTGTATAAATTTTGGTACTTACCTTTTTTATTGTTGTATATCTTCCATTATCTGTAATTTGGAATCTATCATTAATTTTGAGAAATTTTCAGTAATTATTGCTTCAAATGATACTTCTGTTCCTATCTTTTTCTTATGTTTTTTCCCTTTCATAAATCAGTAATTTTTCAATTGTTCTATAGTTCTTAGATATTCTATTCTGTTTCAGTCTTCTATCTTAGCAATTCCATTTTGGAACTTTCTATTTCTGTTTCTTCAAGTGTGCTGATTCTTTGCCAGTGACGTCCAGTGTTTATTTCTACCACAATGCCATTGCTTTTCCTCAATTCCTTCTGATCTAGATGAGTTGCCAGGCCACTCTTTCTTGTCTCAGTCTCACTATGCCCTCCTTGCTCTGGACTTCATGCTTTTAGCCATTCCTCCTGTTTGTGTTACTGCCTCTCCCTCTTCTCTGTACCACCTTAACTTCTGCCGTTCTTCAAGCTCTACCCCAGCCTCATCCTCCAGGATGTATTTCTCCACTAGATAATACGATTTCTGTTTATGATCACTTACTGCTTACTAACCATGTGTCTCCAGGAAAGTAATATGATCTTTCTAAGTTTTCTCATTTTTAAAAAGATACTGTAGCATCATAAAAATTTTTTGAGGATTAAGTAAGACAATCTCTCTCTCCTACTCAAAAATCACTTCCATGAATACAAGGATTTTTGTCCGTTTAATTTACTGCTCTACTCTCAAAACCTAGGATAGTATGTGATACATCTATTGTGTTTTAACAGTATTTTTCAAACAAATGAATGCATTTTGAGAAGACTACATGCTAAGCACTATATACTCTACCTGAACAGAGGATTCTTCATGATCAACTTATTAATATTAAAAAATTCCAAAACAAGAATTTTTAATTTGTAGGATTTGGATTATTCCTGAAGCCTTGATGGTATCTCATGAGCCCAGCTAAGGCTGAGCCCTCAAACTGAGTAACTGTCAAGTCCTGAGCATGCTTAGAAAACTCCCCTACTCTGGAAATGCAACACATCCTGAATCTGAAAAGAAGCTGAGGACAGAGAATGCCAACCCAATAGACAAACATAGAGACTAGTGGATCAGGAAAAGCCAAACGGTTTCGCATCATTTCTGTAAAATTTGTTCTGTAAGAAGACAGCTCTGGATACAAGGAGAACTGTCCAAAAAATGAATCTTGTTGCAAAGTTTCAACAACATAGGGACATCCAGGTCCTCAGAGTGATACACTGGAAAGTGTAGAAGGTTAAAAGACCTACTGCAGACAGAATCTTCCTGTTCTAACCTGTCCTTCTTTGATAGGTGCTTGTGGCTGTGTTGTATGTATTTTCTGGCTTGTTGTGTTTTACGATGACCCAAAGGATCACCCATGTATAAGCAACACTGAGAAAAACTACATCACATCATCCCTCGCCCAGGTAGATGGCAAGTGCTCTGTACTGACATCTCCCAGATTCTGCTCTAACAAGAGGTTCCATCTTCTCCTTATCTGAGAGTGATTAATGAATTATTTTTCAGGTCAGCTCAAGTAGTGTGACGACTCTGCCCATCAAAGCTATGCTGCAGTCTCTCCCAGTCTGGGCCATTGCCTTCTGTAATTTTGCTATTGTCTGGGCACATAATTTTTTTATTACATACAACCCAATATTTATCAACAGTGTACTTGATGTTAACGTAAGAGAGGTTAGTGTATCATAAATTCTTATTATAACTTTGTGTAGAATTATCTGTTTCTCTGCCTCTGCTGACCCTGGTCTCAGTTCTTGCCTCCCCCTCCATTGTGTTATCTATGTGTTTATCTGTAGGTGCATGGCTTCTGATTTTTGTGAGAAGCAGCCAGAACCAAAGGTATTGGTACAAACACAATGTCTGGCACCCCACCAACAATATACTTGAAACCCATGTTCCCACACCTCCCTTACCTCCGTCACTATGGGGTTGCCATGTATGTAACTAAAGATTCAACATTGTCTTTCCTTTTGGTGATTGGGGTCCTTTCTTAAAAGTCGCATTGCCAAACCCTGACATCTTACACAGCACTCATCCATATATTTCCCGAGGTATGACAATGTATTTGGATAATGGATTTGGATATGGGCTATGACCTATGACATGTTTTCTGTGACAGCTTCATTGTTTAACTGAATTGCAAATCACTGATACATGGAATCACCTGCTACTTGATAAAATAATCAGAAAAGATTCTCTTAGAAATGCAGTTTGTGTTTGCCACTTAGAGGCTTTGCATATGAATCAGTAGCCGGCTAATGTGAGCATAACAGTAAGATTAAATAAACCCTTTTAAACTCAATTTCATCTTCCATGAAACTATGGAGTTGCTGCAAGGATTGACAGTGGCCAGGATAGAGTGAGCACCATACACAATTGTAATTGTCATCATTATCATATTTATAATTCCCCCTGAAGCTGCCACTTCTCATTCCAACCAATCTTTGTCTATATTATATGGTGATTTCAGGGCCCGTAATCCTAAAAGTAAAAACCAGACAGATAATGACAAATATAATTATCTTCCTCTTTGTGTTGAGTCATGTGGCCCCAGAAATAGTCCTGGTGTTGTATGCTGATGGTTTTCTGCATGACAGTACATATTTTAGATACTAAATTCGCAGGCAACTGTTACTCTGTGTATCAGAGCTTCCATCTTCACCATATACACACTCAGAATAACATCTCTTCTGCAGAACGGGTTTCTGTCCGGCCTGCCCTTTCTATTTGCCTTCATCATTACTATCCTAGGAGGTCAGATGGCAGATTTCTGCCTGTCCAGGAATATTTTCAGCACCATTACTGTCCGGAAAGTCTTCACTACACTAGGTAAGAAGCTGCCAGGAATTCCAAAGCATATCACAGTGGGTGCTTCCTTCTCAGTTCCAGCGTGTATCTAATCATGTTGTCTGCGTCTCTCCCCAGGAATGGTCTGTCCTATTGTCTTCAGTATATGCCTACTCTACCTGAGTTTCAACTTTCTTAGCACCGTCATCTTCCTGATACTTAGTCAAGCAACAGCCTTCCTTGCTTTAAGTGGAGTCAATATAAATGTCTTGGATATCGCTCCCAGGTAGCATTTTCTTAAAATTCATGTGTTTTTAATTAACAAATAAAAGTTGTATGTATTTATTGTGTACAGCATGATGTTTAGAAATATGGATACATTGTGGGAAGGTTAAGTGTACATATGTATACTTACCACCTTTGTGGTGAAAACCCTTAAAATCTGCTCTCAATATAATTGTCAAAAATACAATGCCTGTCTATGGTGATAGTCACCTTGGTATACAGCAGATCTCTTGAAGTTATTTTGCTCTCTACCTGAAATTTTGTATCCTTAGATCCCAGGATCTAGTATTCAACATTGTTCTTTCTATTTCTGTGAATTTACCTTTTTTAGATATCATATAATTGTGAAATTACCTAGTATTTGTCTTTTCATGTCTGGCTTATTGTACTTAACATAATGGCCTCCAGGTTTTTCTGTGTTGTCAGAAATGGTAGGATTTCATTATTTTTAAAGTTTAGGTGGTATTTCATTGCACAGATACATCATACTTTCTTTACCCACTCACCCACTGATTAAATTTTTTTTAGCTTTTCAATTGTGAATAATGCCACAATAAACACAGGAGTATGAATATCTCTTCAAAATACTGAGTTTATTTCCTTTAGATGAACACCCAGCAGTGAGAGTGCTCAGTCATATGGTGGTTCTATTTTTAATATTTGGAGGAACCTTCACACTGTCTTCTGTAATAGCCTTTCTAATTTACATTCCCATCAACAATGTGCAACTCTTCCCTTTTCTTCGTGTCTTTAACACATTTCTCTTTCATCTTCATGATAATATTCTCTCTACCAGGTGTCAGGCGGTCTCCATTATAGTTTTAATTTGCATTTCCATGATAATTAGTAAAGAGGAGCATTTTTCATTTCCTGTTGTCCACTAGTATGTCTTCCTTTGAAAAATGTCTGTTTGGACCCTTTGCCCATTTTTAATCTTTTTGTTTTGATATTGAGTTGTTTGAGTTTCTTATATATTTTGGGTGTCAGTCTCTTTTGAAATGTAGGGTTTGCAAATATTTTCTCCAGTGGCATAGATCCTTTCTTCATTCTGTTGATTGTTTCCTTGACTATACAGAAGCTCTATACTTTTATGTAATTCTTCTTTTCTACTTTCGTTTTTGTTGTCCATATATTTTTTTTGGTTATGTTCAAAAAATGATTGCCCAAAGCAATGTCATAAAGATTTTCTCATTGTTTCATCTAGTGGTTTTTCAATTTCAAGTTCTATGTATAAGTCTTTAAACCATTTTGGGTTGATTTTTCAATGTAGGATGAGATAAGGATGAACTACTTTTTCTTCACATAGATACTCATTTGCCCCAACACCATGTATTGTCTTTTCCCCATAGTTATTTTCTTGGGAATTTTGGCAGAAATCGACTCCTTATAAATATTTAGATTTATTTCTGGGCTCTCTGTTTTGCTTCATTGATCAATGTGTTTTTATGCCAGGATCTTGTGTGTACGATTACTACAGCTTTTATGATACTCTGAATACAATGGTGTGGTACCTCCAGTTTTGTTCTTTTGTTCAAGACTGCTTTGACCATTTGAGATCTGTTCTTGACTCCACATGACTTTGGGGAGTGTTTTTTTCCATTTCCATGAAAAATGACATTATAATTTTGATAAGGATTTCCTTGAGTCTGTAGATCACGTTAGGTAGTATAGACATTTAATGATATTAATTCACCCTTTTCATGAACATGAGATATTTTCCCATTGATTTATCTTCTTCAGTTTCTTTCATTAGTGTTTTATATTTTGTAATGTCTTTTCTCTTAAATTTATTCATAAGTACTTTTTACAGCTCTTACAAGTGAGATTGCTGGGTTTTTTTGGTTTTTTTTTTTTTTTTTTTTTGCTTCGGTAATTTGCAGTTAGATTTTTTTAAATCATTTTTTCTTTGAATGCAAGATTCCAGGGCTTTTCATATTCTAACTATTTTGAATTTCACAGTCAGAACGTCGAAATTTTTGGAGAAATATGTAAGTCAGACATAAACAATAATTTATTAGGCACCTAATGATTTTTGAACCTGTTATTTGTAAGGAAGTATAATTTAACAATAATGAATATACACTTTAGAGGCAAAGTGTTGGCCTCAGTATCCCCTTGGCTATTGACCTTTAGTAAATTGTTCACCTTCTCTGTGCTGTGGTCCTCCTCTATAAGATAGGAACAACAAGGGACTGCTTTCCTCACAGAGTTGTTAAACAGTATTAAATAAACTAATGTGTGACAAATATTTAACATGGTGTTTGACTTAGAGAAAACATTGTATTGGAGTTAGGTACTCCATCACTACTGTTATTTTAGGCACAATCACATATGTTAACCTCATCAAGACCCACTAGGTTTTAATCTTCCCATAACCACAGAAAGATGGTGAAATTAATTAAAAAGAGGTAGATAATGAAGTTATAAATGAGGACATGTTTTATGATTCTATCTTTATAGGGATCATATGCAAATGATCCCTGGTGACAAGCTTTAGTGTATTCAAATAAACCATAAAATGAATATATTAGGGCTATCTGTGCTATCATGACTGAATTTCACACACAGAATATTGAGAGAAAGAATACCAGTGGAAAACCATCTCCAATACAAGTTCACTCACATAAACTACAAACAGGCAAATCAAGTGTTACTGGTAGGAGCAACAAAATAGGTCTTTAGGAGGTTGCTGTCAAAAATATTGCTGTGAACGTCATGTGTATCTAAGAGATGCACTTATAAGTATTGCAAATTTTCCTTTATTATGTTCATATAATAAAGTACATGATTTTTTATTTATTTTCAGCTGCAATATGGAAACTATCAAACAAAAATATAAACTGTGATTTTTTTTTCCTTTCAAACAATGGAAACATGGATGTTGCTTAAAAATGTCTTTAACTAAAATTTTCAATAGTTTGTTTTGAAATTTTTTTTGAGACAGGGTCCCAATGAGCAGTTCAGGTTGGATTTAAACTCATTTTGTAGCCCCGGTTGGCCATAAACTCTCAACAACCTTCCTTCTTCAGCCTCTCAAGTGCTGGGATTACAGGCTTATCACCGTGCCCAGCCTGCACAATTTTTTAACAGTCAATGTAAGCAACATTGCTATGTTCAAGCCACTGATACTTTTCACAACACTTGCAAAAATATTTTGATAAACAACTCAATTTGGTATTCATAGCATCTAGCACAGCTTCCCCCCCCCTTTTTTTTTGCTTGTCAGAGGAGCCATATATGTGCTATCATTAGAATTTTCTTCTATTTCTTTCAAATGTAAAAGGCTTGTTGTGCACCTGTAGATTTCTGAACACCATTTCATTTGTTCAAACATTGCATTGAAAGATTACTAATGAATATTCTGTGTCTTATTTTCACATTACTGTTCAACATATGAACTAGGTTTTCGTTGTTGTTGTTGTTTGTTTTCAGGTATGTGACATACAATTATGCAACCTGCACCAAAAACAAATTTAACACTGACTTCAAAGACTGTGAGAAAACAACAACAACAAAACTAACTCCAGAGCTCACAGTGTATCTAGATACAATTGTACTATCAAATATTATGCACGCTTAACAAAAAACTAATGACCTAACCATTATGGTTTAACACTAGCCAGCACAAACGCACAACTACTCATGACCTTGAAACTATGTATCCAGTATATATAAGAACATTTAAGAAAAGAACTTTCTTGTGTCTCTCAGATCAGCCATGACCTCCAAAATGCCACAGTATAAAGAAAAGAGGAAGCTGGGCATGGTCTCACAAATGTGATCCCAGCAATCTGAGAAGCCGAGAAGAATCAAGAGATTGAACATAGCACAGACGACTTAGCAATTTAGTATAACTTCATCTAAAACAAAAAAATTGAAAATTGAGAATGTAGCTCTGTGTGAAGGTCCTGCGTTCAATCTTCAGTATCACTTAGACAGAGATAGATAGATAGATAGATAGATAGATAGATAGATAGATAGATAGATGATAGATACATAGTAGATAGATAGACAGACAGACACATTCTTTTTGTGGAAGTGAAAAACACAATGAGGTCTTCTTTAGCGCTCCAATTTAAAATTGCTATTTTCTGCCTGCTTTCATTTGAACATTTTTTCCTGTCTTTGGTGTAGATTATTCAGATTTTCTAACTTCTCAAGTCATTTATTTTTCCATACTTAAACAAGTCACCTTAAATTTCCACTCTGTTAGTATAACTTTATATCTGTTCTTGTTATTCTTCTTATTATCATCATCATTCCTGTTTTACAGAATTAGGAAAGCAACTTGTAATTAACAGGGCCTGTGCTGCAGCACAGTGGGTGTCATAGTTACTCTTTACTCATCACTGAGACAAAATACCTGATGTCCACAGTTGGGGAAGGAAAGATTTATTTCTTACAGTTTTTGGAGGTTTCAGTCCATACTCAGTTGGCTCCAAGGCAGGGTGGCATGGCGGGGCTGCAGTTCACGGCAGCTGCAAATGGCAAGGTGAAAACTGGCAAGAAAGAAAGACACACCTTCTTCCTGTCATTACATTGTTGATGGCTCCACCCCTAGGCGGGTGTAGCACTGACACCATCAATCCAAGCGCTAGACAATGAGCCAGTGCAAATGCAAGAGGCCTGGGGGCCACCGACACAAACCATGGCAGTGAGTCAGTGCACAGGACGGGTCATTCTAGGCCAAAACCCAAGAAGTGACTGCATACATAGCAGCTGCAGCTGCTTTCGTGGCTTGTGGCAGTGGGGGAAAAAAAAAACCTCTTAACTTTGATTTACACTTTCTTTTATTTAAAATATTTTTGCAACTTCTCTGTCTCTCTCTCTCTCACTCTCACTCTCTCTCTTTTAGTGGAGATCAAACTCATGACCTTGCACATGTGAGGCAGGTGCTATGGCACTGAGCTAAATCCCCAGCATGATTTCTCTTTCTTGATAACACTTTATTAAATATAATCTATCCTTTTTTATTTTTCAAAATTCTTGCTCTTAACTTTATGAAATCTACTTCCTTTGGATTTCATTACTCTCTGTTTTAAAACATTTTTATCACGTTTAAGTTGTTTGCTCCTGCCTTTGTTCTGGAATTAGATGCCCAGTTCATTTACTGTCACTTTTTCTTAAATAATAAAAGCAATTACAAATATAGGTTTTTCTTTCAACATTGGCTGTATATTGGTTAGTGGACAGAACTAAGCTGCTATAACAAGGAGACTACAAGAGAAAAGTGTGTGGTACAATTGAAACTTGTTTCTCTACTAGGCAACAAGCAGGGGTACAGCAAAGATTTTTACCCTTATCAGCATGAGGTTCATGTCTCAACTAGACACTGACTCTGATCCCCCAAAGGTTCTCCTTTGTTCATGCCTGGTGGAAACGGTTCTCATTTATCTTGGCTTTCCTTCCTTGTTATCTCTCTCCCTGCTGAAGTTGTCATGAGCATTAATGAGTAGCCAATCAGATGGTTTGTAAATAGACTTCTCATTCCCCAGTCTAGGTATGGGATGCAACACCTGGGGTTGAAGTTTTAAAACTATAAGTCTAGACCCAGGAAATTCTAATCACTTTTTAAATTAATTTAAAACCAGTTTCCATTACCAATACATATCACCTTCCAAATTTCTCAACTGTACTTCTTTCTTAATTCTGCTGTTTTTCACCCTGAATATAGCTTCATTTTCTTAATATTTTTATGTCCTTTACTCTTAGTAAAGTGCATAGTGCAACTAGAAATTTGCTTGTATTAACATATGTTTCCTGTCATTTTGATGGAATCTGAGAAGTAAAAATGATGAATTCATGAAATCAGCAATTATCGGGGCTGGGGATTTAGCTCAGTGGCATAAGCGCCTGCCTTGCAGGCAGGCAGTCGTGAGTTTGATCCCTGGTACCAATAAAAACGAAAAGAAATCAGCAATTATCTCTCTTAAAACTCACTTGATTAAGTTGGTTTTTCCTGCAGCACTTGTCATACTGTACATCTACACATTCCTCTTCTTTTACAGATATTATGGATTTCTTAGAGGAGTTACAACTTTAACTGGAATGCTAGGAGGCATGATTTCTTCAACTATCGGTGGATTGATCCTTAATGCGGTAAGGAACAGGCAGACATGTATATTTTGCATTATTAACTGTACAGAGTAAAAAATGATATATATGTGAAAACTTGCAGAGATGCCAGCAGGAAGTACCTATGAGTTTTTATGCCATATAGAAATAAATTTGGTCAAGTCACTCATCCCTCCAAATCTACAGGTAACACAATTTCATCTCATCGCATGTGTTGAAATTTTAGGTCATTAGTCATTGAAACAAAAATGACTTTTCTTTTACAAGTCTCTGTGGAGGAAGCAGACGAGAATTTGAGCAAAGAATCTCACAACCTTAGAGGGCTAACAGAACAACACTTAGAGTTGAGAGCCTAGGTTAGGACCAAATGGAACTGTATCTAGGAAATTAGGCTGTCTTGAAAATGAGCTGTACCTTCACAGTCACAAAATTCCTGCAACAAATATTATGCACACTTGTGCAACAGGAGCCATTTTCCTTACACCTTTGGGAGTAAGAAAAAGATGCAGCTAATACTGTTGATATTAAACTTTACACTACGCCTTACTTAGTGAAATAAAGCACAAATACATGAAAATGTGGATGTAAAAAGAAACATCATTAACACTTTTAATACGAAATATTCATATGTAGTCAAAAGGCTATGTATTAAAAGACTAAAAACTGTAAAATATCTTTTAATCAATCTGAGCGATCAGAAAATTCAGTGCAATTCCAATGAAAAAATTCTAAGTGATTTTTGTGGAAATAGAAGAGGTCTTTAAACAACTAAAGGCTGATAATAACCAAAAGGAAAAAGCTGGAATGTTTGCTCTAAAGTGGTATAAGAACATTGCCCTGGAAAATATGAGTGAATATGAGAGTAATAAATCTTAACAAAGTAATAATGAAGGTACATGAGAATAAGTTAAATTTGCCAATGAATATATAAAAAACAGACATTCTTGTAGGAGACAATTTGAGTAACTCCCCTTGAATGCAGAACAATTGCTACAACATTGATTATATTGAGGCTTATTGCTCTTTACTGATATGTACAGAGCTAACTATGATGTTTTCTTCTCTCTTCAATTGGCTCTAAGCATTGCAAATAAGGCTAGCCAAGGTACTGGTATGTAATTTCTACCACCACCAGACAGTTTCCTGTTTCCGTGCATAGTGCTTTCTGTAAAACATGAGTGTAGTGGGATGCAGAGCCACTCAGCTCCAGGAATGTCAATTGGGTATGAGCCTCGAAATAAAGAGGTTATGAGTACCCAGGCCACAAAAGTTTGCATATCAGAAACTGAAGCAACAGCCTCCAAAAACAGTTCAGTTGCTACCTTAATTGAATTATGCAGATTGATTCTTCTGCATGTCATTCTCCCTGCATTTTGCAAAAATGCTTTTCTCCCTACTTGGCTAGCGAGCTCAAGTTACTCACGTAGTTCCCATCATCTTCACTTAAGCCACCCCCTTCTTCACAAGATAATAAATTCTGAGAAAGGCTTGGATCAGGGTTGCATTGGAGATGGTAGATTGGAGTTAACTTGACAGCGTTCCAATAATATCTCAATGGGATTACAAATATAACTTTTTGGATTGTGAAGAAGACTGGAAAAGGGATTACAATAACTTGTTTTACAACACTCAATATTTGGGATTACAATAATCAGTAATTCACAACTGTTTTGCATTTTAATCTTTCAGGATCCAGAAACCCCATGGTATAAAATCTACCTAATGATAGCAGCCATTAATGGGCTAGCTCTAGTTTTCTACCTTATATTTGCTAAAGCAGAAATTCAGAACTGGGCTAAAGATAGCCAAGAAACCCGACTTTGAAGGTGAGTAATGATCAAGATAAGGACTATCTTTGAAACTGTGAATGCAGGAGAGGGAGAAGTTAAGGATGAAATGTGACATGGAGAACAGGTGCAGGTTTAAGAGAGAAAGGAGGATCCACCACATTAAATCTGAAACTATTAGACATCATCACAGAAATGGAGGCAACTCAAGGGATGTGCTGCTCAGGAACTCAGAGGCGATGTCAGAGCTAAAGATTTTGGGAGCCTGAGCTCCTCTAAATTTAACAGATGAGGAGACAAGAAGAGGTTTGCAAGGGAGAATGGGAAAAGCCTTCATTCAAGTGGAACAACAACTGCTAAATGTGTGTAGAGAAGTGAAAAGTGCAGGAGGGACTACTTTTAGCAAGTGCAATGAAGGAGTGAAATTATATAAGGATCAAAGTTTCCCTAATGGTAAAGCAAGAGATACCTTAAAGTGACCCTGAAAATGGTTTTCAAATGAATAATGGAGACAAAATGTCCAGGAGAGTGTGTCCAGAGAGAATGTACTACTGTGTATTTCATCTGTAAACTTTACCTGTGGTCAATAAATAGTAGGGAAAATGTCTCTTTCTCAAATGATTTCAGCTAACGAAAGAATAAGCACTGTTGGATGTGGAACTACTCACACAAAGTATTATTCTAGGTGTTGAATGGCAATCGCTGTTAACATCACAAAAAGAAAGACATGAAGATACTGTGTACCTCCTAATGAGCCATCCACGCTAATGCCTTGCTAAGAGAATAAATTGAATCCGAACAAACTGCAGTGTTAAACAAGTACTGAGAACAGAGAATACATTAAATTATATTCCAAGGATGTCATCAAAGACATAAAATGTAGGAGCTTTTACAGGTCAAGGACTCAGATCTTTCATAAACTATGAAGAATAAAAGATGACTCTCCTCAAGATTAACAAGAACTTTAAAAGGGCGGAGGATTTAGCTCAATGGCATAAGCACCTGCCTGGCAAGTGCAGGGTCCCCAGTACCAAAATAAATAAATAAATAAACAAACAAATGAGAATGACTTTAAAAACATTAAATTTTTAAAAATATTTTTTTCATTGGAGCATATTAATTTTATAAAATATCATTTTTCAAAGTGATATTTTCATACATGCATTAAAGATATTTTGAGCCAAATGATTGCCCCATTATATTTTCTTACCCCCCAATACCCGTATTCCTTTCCTCTTCTCTAATAAGTTTAAATTCTGCTTTCCTATCATTTTTTCTCTATTTAGATTCCACAAGTTAGTGAAAATATGACATCTTGTCTTTCTGACTATGACTTATTCCATTTAATGTGTTTTTGTCATCTCACCCATTTTCCTCCAATTCACAGAATTTCATCTTCTTCATGACTGAATAGCACATCATCGTATATATATGCCACATTGTCTCTATCCATTCACACTGATGGGCACAAAGGCTGGTGCTATGTCTTGGCTATGTGAGTTGTGCTGCTATGAACAGTAACACTACACTCTATTGGGGCATACTTATGGGTGATAAATCAGCACAGAAATACAGAAGAGATTATTAGAAACATTGAGATAGTCTTTACTTCGGGGGAAAGAATAGGGCCACATGAGAACTTCTGAGATCCTAGCAATATTCTATCTCTCATGTCCCAGTACACTGATTAAGAATGTTTACCTAATAATAATTCATTGAACCAAAATTTGTTTTGTGCAATTTTCTGTTACCTGTTTTATTTATGAGAAAAGAAAAGTAAAAGCGGAAAGAAAATATGAGTAGAGGAGATAGAGACATCCAGGATCAACATTCTTGTAAGGGAGAACAGAGAAATGGTACAGGACTTGCACTTGGATGTGGAATCAAAGAGGGTTTTGTTGTTTGCGAAGACGATGCTGTAGCACAAAGAGTGCTGGAGAAGGGAGCAGACATCAGGGCAGAGCACAAGGTATGGGAATGAAAAGTGAGCCCTTTACAGGACCCCAGAGCTCCCCCCAGCGGCAGAGATGGTAGGGTGTGTACAACGTGGTCAACGTGGTCAACATGTGATCAGTATTTTCTTATATTTTGATTGAGGATTGAATTCATGACCCTGCGCTTACCAGACAAATGCTTAAGCCACTGAGCTAAATCCCCAGCCTCTGTTTCCATCTTAAGGTCTTTCTTTTCTTTCTTTCTTTCATTCTTTCTTTCTTTCTTCTTTCTTTCTTTCTTTCTTTCTTTCTTTCTTTCTTTCTTTCTTTCTTTCTTTCTTTCTTCCTGAAATAACCAATAAGGCTTTCACTGAAGAGAAAGGAGTTGAAAAAAAGGAAGCAAGGAATACACTTTGGAAATATGGGTAAAATTACCATTAGGAATGGACAATACAGGTGTTTACCTAGAAAATCCAAGTACATAGCCTGGAATCTATAAATGGGAAATGAATGTGGTAAGTTTCCTGGTTATATGATTCATATAGAATTAGATTCTTCATCTTAAATATACATTTGCTGAAAGAAATGATCCAGTTCGATCCCGGTACCAAAAAAAAAAAAAAAAAAAAAAAAAAATTTCAAAAGAGATGATCCACCAGAAACTTGCAGGAAAATTTGACAGTATCATCCAAAACAAGTATTACTCACTATTACTACTGTTTAAAATTTCCATAATCAATGATGCAATTACAAAACTTCACCAAGATGCGTACATAATCAGTATTGCTCCTTAAAGATGGCAAAGATTTGGGTGTAGAATTAAACATATATAAAATAATTAAACATGTTATTGTCATAGTATTAGTTAACAAATTTTAAGTGAGTGTAATATAATCGTTAGTTTAAAATGTGAGAGTTTATCTGAGTCTCTGAGTGCATAAATTATCTTTATAAAGAGCCCAGAGCAACTCCAGAAAATATCTTGCTGACCAAAGAGGACCCTCAATTTTCAGGACAATCTCATTATTTTGCTCAGAGTCTTCTTACTTGCTTTTATGTGTACTTTGACACATTAAATAGTGAAGATTTACTGATGTTTCCTATTGTTGTTACTTCTGTTCACCTCTTGTTGTCTTAGCAACTATTTTTTTTTAATATTCTGGTCTATGGTTGTAAAAAAAATATTGAGGCAAGTATAACTTAATTGCAAAAGTATTTTTTATAAACTTATCAACTGTTTTGCCCAAAAGATTTTACTCTTAATTCATTTTCTTATACTGGGATGACAATCTTAAGGGGTGTGTGTGTGTGTGTGTATGTGTGTGTGTGTGTGTGTCTGTGTGTGGGGGGGTGTGCACACATGTGTGTGTGTTCCAGATTTTCTGGACTATTTTGCATACATAACCTTAAAGTTCTACTACCTGAATCCTGTCTTTTAATATATTTTCTCCATGAATGAGTTTTATGATTTTACCCATTTTAAGGGGTTTCTCCTTTACATTGATGTGTATAACCTAGCTCCATTTATTATTACATATATACTTCATTTTCTTTAGTTTTATTTTACATTCCTTTAGAAAAGAATCTTTTTTGATTAACTGTAAACTGAACCCAGGACCTTTGCACTGAGCTACATCTCTAGGATGTTTTGCTTTGGTTTGGTTTCTTTCTTTCTTTCTTTCTTTCTTTCTTTCTTTCTTTCTTTCTTATCTTTCTGTCTTTCTTCCTTCTCTTTTATGACAGAGTCTTACTGATTTGCCAAGCTGGTCTCAAATTTATGACCCTCCTGTCTCAACCTCTGAGTACTGGGATTATAGGCATGTACCAAAACGCTTAGCTATTCCTGCTTAATATGAGGCCCTTTTTCTACAAACATACCCTTTTATGCCTCTAGAAATTTGGAAAGTTTAAAAGCTATCTTAAAATTTGACTGTATACATACTCTAAACCTTTAAAATGTGTTCATATTTTCCATTTACATGCTCTGTTACTATTCTTTCTTTTGTTTTTAGGACAACAAACACATTCAGTTTTTCTAATTACTTTTCTTAAGCTAAGCCAGTTCTACCTGAGATTCTGTATTTGCTTAGTTGCCATTTGCATCTTCTCATCAAGTTGAAGCTTCAGGGCCTAAAGTGGGAGCATTAGCTTGACCCTTCAGATGAAAATAATGTGGCGGAGGAGCTCTGGGAAACAGAGCTATAGTTAAATCATACAGAGATGTTTTTCTTGGCTTTAGTTTGATTTTGCTGTTGTTGTTGTTGTTGTTGTTGTTGTTGTTGTGCTAATTGTTGTGTCTTCAGCAACTTACTTCTGCAGGGCTTCTGGATTTTTCCTATCACACTCAGTTCCATTCCTTACAAGGTTGGTCACCTTATAATTTTCTATCATGAGAAGTTGGGAGAAAATAAGAAAGAGTCATGGCTCTGTGTTGCTTTTATTTCACTGCAGGGAAAAAATATCTAATGCCCACAAGTAGGGAAAGAAAGTTTTATTTAGCTCAAAGTTTGTGGAAGTTTCAGTCCATAATCAGCTAGCTCCGAGGTAGAGTGACACAATGGCCACGGATAAAAGCATAAGCAATAATAGCAAAAAAGAAGGAGCTTGGAATGAAGATTCTTTGGGTCTCTTATATTGTACCAGGCCACACCCACTTGGACATGGCAGTAACACCCGTAATCCCAGCTTTGGACCATGAGTCAGTCCCAAATTCTAGAAGCCTTCCTCCATGACTGCATGAGGCTTTGGGAGGACATCCAGACTCAAACCATAACATCCTCTAACCAAGAGGATATTGCATGTAGACCCAGGGACCCAGGGTCACAGGTCTTTGAGCTGCCAGCTGCCCTGGTAGAGTGGCACTACCACTTCTGTACTCCTGCTTTCTTTCCATATCAACTTCATGAGAATGGTAATCATCTGTGTGTTCACTTTCAATGTTGCGTTTTCAATTGATCCTTAATGTTTTTAATTTTACAAATGATTCTTAGATTTCTAAATCTAAAGTTTCTTTTCCTACTCAACACTATTGGCAAATAAATGAACAGTTCAAAGAGAAGAAAGGAAATTATACAAGATGACCCATGAATGGAGAAGAGGAGCTTGCACTCTAAGGGTAACCTTCTCTTCAGCAGATCTAGGATCTGTAGTTTTATTAGGAATGCTTATGAGGGAGTAGTACATGCTGTTATCAGACCTGCTCATAGACTAGGACAAGTTCCAGAAACTGGGATGCTATCTTTTTTCTTCCCTTATTTGCATGTATTCAGATCTGTCTTGGCACAGTGGATGTGCTTTTCATCATTTTAATGGGACTGTCTCAAGCCCAAGGTGGTCTAGAGTGTCAACATGGCATCCCAACCACATGGAGTTGGTCTGGAGTTTCCTTGGCAAGTAGGTGTTAATTCATTGGTCAACAGCTTGGGGCATATGACTGTCAGCATACAGAGGCTTTAACATTTGCAGGCAAGTAGCATAACAGACAGGATGCCACATTACCAGTAATTTTGGACTCAGTGTTGGTTTTGAAGTTACATAGTTTCCTACATTTTCTAATTTTCTCTCTTTTTTGTGCATTTCAGTGGATTCCAGGGGAAATAGCTATTGAAAGAGGCATGCATTCTGTGGAATTTCACTTATGGCATAGTTTCTCAATTTCTTATCATATAATGGACTCAAAATAATGCAGACAACCTTAAGAGATTAATCTTATGCTAAATTGGTTACAAAATATCACCAATCAGTGGGTAGGAAAGGGGGTACTTATGCTCAACTCAGATAAAAGTTATAAATTGGCAAAGTGCAGCTCCCTTGATGTTAGAGTCTATGAGATGTGGATGCCTATGGCCCCCAGCCCCTAGTGTTACAGCTCTGAGGTTTGAGTGCCAGCACCTCTTTGTTCTTAGAGCTACATCTTTACAGCTTTTGTCAGCTGCAGCTACCCCTACTATTGCCTGGAGAGCTCCAGCATTACTGCCACCACCTGGAGGAGGGAGCAGCCCTGCTGAGGAGGGAAGCTTTGCTGCCACAGGGGGGAGCTGTGTAGCTTGAGTAGGCTTTAGGTTTACCTGAGAGGAGCCTGGCAACCTTCTCTTAATCCGGGGGCTTCACTGCCCAAGGAGGGAGC